AGTAACAAGCAGCTATATACATAGCAATTGAAAGTCTTCCTAGAAAGCCCATAGAAGCTTTAGCAAGTGGAAAAGAACTTTCAATTCTCTCCTTTCTCATTAATACCTCATAGAAACCTCCAAACTGCAGTACTTGAAAGCAGTATTTTCATTCAGAATTACTTACATGAAGAGCCAGAGACCGATCCCCATAAAGGCATGTATGTATAGATAACTCAGGCACCCATTTAGTGTAAGTTGGCCCTGTTGTTTGTTGTCGTTACAGAAGTGAGACACCCTAGTTGGTAATTTGTGTTTAACTCCCGTATTTTTACCCATCTATTACAGTGCACGGTGTTTTGGAAAACCCACCCATAGTCCAAACCCACATCACCGGAAGTAGTAAGTATTAGAGCCCTGATGTCCTTACTAACACCTGGCTATTGGAGAGATAAATAAAAGTGAAGAAAGAAAAATGAAACAGAAAATGAAGAAGTGTCAAAGTATCACAATAGTTTTCTCAAGGGAAATCTTGCTTAAATTGGGTTTTTATGTTTTCGAAGAATGTTTTGCATTGTCTAGTTAAATGGTTTTATGTTTATTTTGCCAAAATTTTATTTGATCACTTCCCTCCCCAAAGCCTCTGCCCTTATTACCAAGTATGTATGTCCTGTGTTATGTCTCTTCAACCTATCCTTAACTTATCCCTAACCTCCAAATCCTAACAAATAGGAGTAGTTATAATAACCTCATTTCTATTACAGTTATTGTGCCTTGCTTTACTAATGCTGATTAATTGTATTGTTATTATTATTTGTTTTACCTTTTCTTCTCTTGTGGGTAGTTCAACCACATTAAATTGCATTTCTAAAAAGCTTATAGACTTTTTATTGCAGCATCAGTTAGAAAGGAGATTCATTAAAATGATTTTATGTTGAAATTCATACTTTTCAACTGCATAAGCTCTGCTCTTGTTGCTTTCCAATTGAAGTGTCATGGAATGTGGTGGCCAAGTGTGACACGGGGAAACAAGTCCGCGGTGGTTGTACAGGAACAATTTTATAGTTGTGGACTTATAGCTGGTTCTTTGATGGTAGCACACAGTAAACAAACAGGTTGCAATTGTTTGTTTTGAACAAGGAAATCTATTTTCCTATAACCATATTTGTCATTGATATTTTTACATGTGTATTTTTAAACTAATTTACATGGTTATTTTGGTATTCTTATGTTTTGCACTTTTTGAAGTAAGAAAAAGTCCTAATGTGTTCATTTTTTAGTAAAGCACATTTTCTTGTAGTTATATTATCTCTGTTAGAAGTCCAAAACATAAGAATACCAAAAGCACTGTTTT